CCTTTCATAACTTCTCCTCTCCGGTCTAGTTCTTGTTTCTTTTGAATGTCTAAGGCTTCCTTATTATCAAACTGACTACCGTATTGGTTTAATCTGTATCTTGTCGCTTTTCTGTATATCACATTTTCAATTGATGGACGGTTCTCATCTCCTACCAACGTTTCTTTCAATAATTCATCATAAGAAGGTCTCAAATGTAATTGTGATTTCAATGACCCTACTTTTACCGGTCCTACTGTATTCAATCTACTAATTGATTTAATCATAGTATATTAATTATTTAGAAAAATAAATTAATCAGAGATATTCTTAATCATTTCTTCTAAATGCTTCTTTCTTACAGTTAGTTGTTCCTTCGTTTGTATTCCGTCTGGTGACCGTGTGTTGGCTAATGTTTTTCTTATTCTGTCTAATTCCTTTCTGTAACTTTCGGTTCTGTTGCTTTCAGCTAAATCATTTCTATATTTTATTAATGCTCCCTGTGATTGTCTCGCTTCCAGCGTTTCCTTCAACTGTTTAAAATAATTCATTCTTGAAGCAACACCCCATAAATCTGAAACATTATAATGACGTTCTACTTGTGGCGCCCTTTTAAATTCTACATTTCTATGACTTCTCATAAGCATGATTAATATATATTATAATTTGATTATTATTTAAAACATTGATGAAGATAATTTGTTTATTTTTTCTTGTTTATCTTGTTTTTTCTTCTGTTTAAGTTCTTCATAATGTTGGTTTAATAGTTCTGTTGCCGTGGGTTTCTTAATAGTTTCTTTAATCACTTCTTGTTTAATCTCATTCTTAATCTCTGAAATAACTTCAGGTTGTATCTTTCTAATATTCTTTTGTGGATTTACTGGTAATAACTCAGTAGGTGCTCCCTTACAATTTTTGGGATGTGAGTGTCTCAAACTTTTCAATGTCATCTTTTTAGAGCATTGTTCACATTCTACTAATTCAACTTCTTTTTTAGTTCTTGGTAATGCTTTTGCTTTCGCTTTTGGTTCGGGAATGACTTCTTCAGGTTTAACTTCTTCTGGCGTTGGTTCTTCATTAACTGTTTCATTTTGTTCAACGACTTCATTATTAACAGGTGCTTCTTCTGTTTTAGTTTCATTATTAACATCTACTACCTCAATACTTGACATATAATATATTCTATATATTTTCTATATGGAAAAATTAAAGAATATATTTAAATAATCTCGCTTTTCACAAACAATAATGACAGGGATACATTTACCCCATTTAAATTAATTTCATTTCCTAATGAATTACTAATCCAAAAATCTAATTGTTTACAGCTTCTATTTGATACATCCAAGTAATCAAGAGGGTTTAATTCTGAATCAAAGACAATTCCCGCGTGTGGTGCTGTGACTGGTACTTTCTTAACAACTGTGCTATCGCCGGTTCTTAAATTTACTTGATTATAATTAGACAATTGAGAAGAATGAAAATAAATATTTCTAATGGGTTGAAGATTAACGAAACCAGAAACATAAGGATTATTATATTGATAAACTACCATTTGATAATTTCCTAAAACTTCATTAGCAGATTGTAAGTTATTAGCATCAAAAGTTCCATTCCATATATAATCTGCATATGTTAGTTTCATTTGTTCATCAGTTAACACAGCGAACTTTCTATCGGCATAGTTTGAATAAATTGTTATTTTATAAGTTTTCACACTGTAAGTAACTTCATAAGTATTTGAGAAATTAGTATTATCTACAACACCATTTATTTTTGACTTTAATTCTGTCGCTAGTTCTGTGCCAGTATATACTCCTTCGTCCAATTGTAACGATAAATAATGGACATTTGTGTTATCTTCATCTGGAACTAGTGGAGAAGAATAAAAGTATAATATATTATTTAATCCTGACTGAATTGAATACCACGAGTTAGGTAATGTTACTTCGTGAATGTAGCAATGTACTCCGTTGTCTGTTTGTAATGTTTCCGGCAATTCCACTTTGAAATTCGATGATGTACCACTAATTCTATGAGCGCTGTCAATATAAACTTTTTTATATGTAAGCATTATTAATTAATTGAGAAATTAATTTATAACTTTAAATATATGATTAATAATAAAAAGTTAATTTATGAAATGAAACAAGGGAAAATTAAACATTATCAACCTTATAAGAAAACAATTAAAATAACTAATGTTATGAAACAAACTGACAAAATATTAAATAGTTATTATCCTAATTCAAATTTAACTGATGCACAAGGGGTGAGTAGAGCATATAGCAATGGTAAAGGTTTTTATATTGATGGTGATAAAATGTATGTAAGCGGAACATTTGGAAAAGTAACTTTTGGAGGTGCTATTAATGACATTCTGGCAGATGTAGGACTTCCCTTTAAAATGACTAAATATTCACAACGATATAAAGACACATCAACAGCATTGGATGAAAACAATGAAGTTAAACATCTTATCACACATAGTCTCGGTTCAAGTGTAGGGGCACAGATAACAAAAGATTACCCTGAAAGAGAATTAACTTTAACCACTTATGGAGCGCCGTTTATATCACGAAGGTCTAAAATTACCGATGATTACATTAATTTTAGAAGTATCTTAGACCCTGTCAGTATTGCTGACCGTGGTGCTATAACTGTTTATACTGGTTCATTAAACCCATATACTAACCACGATTACATAACTGGATACGGAGACCAAGGTAAAGATGTTTCAAGAAGCAATGAACCGGTAAAGGAGATATTATAAATAATCTAAATTATATTAATGATACAACATAAGAAATATGACAATGAAACAACAGATGATATGATTAAGAATGAAAATACAAAGTATAAGAAAAGTTCATATGATGAAATTAGAGAGATTGTTTTAGAGAAAGAAAAAGGCAATAATCCAGTTGAAGATAAGATTAAGAAAAAGAAAATGAAAATATTTAAAAATCATAATTCTAATCAAAAGGATTATACGAAATTATTCAATTTGTAAAACATAATTATTAATTATGTTTTAGAAATTAATAAATGTATAAATTTATCAATTTAGTTTAGTTTAAATTATTTCTAAATTAA